GACTAGGACAAGCAAGATATTATGAATTAAAATACAAATATTAGTAGTTTACTGGTATATAAATTTAAGTTATGGGTAAGTGTAGAGGAGCCATTCGGCACGAATGCGTCGGCTCGACCGGAGTAATACCCTGGCCTCATAGAAAACCGGCGTAAAACAACTACAGCGTTTTGTTTCGTCGTGTGAGTGAAGTTACCGGAAGCCCCATCCTTCTTCTTCTCCCTAATCCCCTGAACTCTGAAATCCAAAAGGCTAATACGCACTCGTAAATGATCTGGTTCTGCAAATGTCTCTAGGTGGCGCCGACTGCTTACCATCAGCTAATCCGGCTGTTTATTTGCAGTACTATCGTATCGTACATAAAAAAACACGTAAACCATTATATTTATTTTCTTTATAAAAAATAGATCTACCAATTACAACAATAATTGTACAAGTGCAATAATTTAGATTTTCCTTTTATAAAACCTAGTCTTAACAATTACATTACAGATTTCGTACCAAAAGGTTATTAGTTCATTTCAGACACGACTCTCTGCGTTTTTTTGTGAAAAAGAATGACGACAGGCAATGTTTACAACACCTGCTATTTGATAATTGTGGACAATTGATTTTTGCGATACAATAGTTTGAAAAAGAGAACTCAATGTATTTAGCAAAATGTTTAGCATCTAGCACGTGATCTAGGCTACCAATTAGTAGACCACTTAAAAGTTTTGCAATAATGTAGGTATAACAAATACATAGAATCTTTTTAGCCCTCAACCTATTTACACAGAACAGAGAAATAAGAGAAACCTAATCCACTAATTACTTCTAGTACCTTCGTGCGTTAATTAATTAAAACAAAGAAAGTATTGTTCAAACAAAGGCAGCAACAAACCTCATACAATACGGAGAAGCGTAAAAATTACACAGCGGGACAAAAAAAACTGACCCAGTTCCGTGATATTGGAGATCTAATGAAATCTTTTCATCGAACGATTACGATAGTTTATAGAGAACAATGAGTGAGATGGAATGTTTGTCATCATAATTGTTATTAAGCAAGAAAAAGTTAATAAGTGAAATGGTAGCTTCCTCCAGTGATTTCTATACTATAGTTCTTACGATGTAAGTTTTGTTTTGTATGTAGTGCAGTAAAATATCGACGCCATTTTTGATTTTCTAATGTTTTAACAGGCTAACAGCCAACTGTTAAATAGTGTCAATTGTTGTTAGGTATCGTTCATAGAAAAAAATTCGTTAACGGTTAAAGTAAGTTTGAAAGTTTTTTTTTCAAAATTTTATTGGAGTCGTTACTAAGACTACTAAGATAATAGTAAGTTAAGCAGTTGCAGCAGACGAAAACAGTTTCTGGGGACAATTAAATTTTGTTTACAACATTTACAACGGATTTTCTATTTTTAACAAATTCAAAAAAATTCAAATTCTAACTGAGCATGATTTTACAAAAAAAATGTCTACGACAATACTTTTTAAAATAAAACATTGCCTTCCGCAATCTCATGACTAAATTACTAAGCAAAAACAGCCGTCGCAAAACCGCACATTATTATGTGCAAATATTTATTTACTTTCATTGTAAGTTGACTAACTTTAAATTTGCTAAATTTAAATTTTGTTGAAATTTTAAACAATGATGTTCAATGATGTTCATTTAAACAATGATGTTGTGGCTTAACCTTTTTTTTGTTTTTGGTGTTTAACACATGTAGATCCGATATAATGTATTTAAATTGAGTAATAATTTATTGAAAACGTTTTTAGAGTTAAGGGGTTTTTGAGGGAGGGTATTTCCAAATGGCTTTCTCGCCCAGGGTAGAGTAAGAGGGAGTGTCAGACTCTTTTTTACTTATTTCAAGTAGACCATTATAAGGCACTTTTGAACGTCAAGCAAAAAATATATCAAAATGTTTAACTTTATGCGTGACAGTCTGTTGTTTGCTAATAAATGATTGAGTATTGAGTATTGAGTATTGAGTATTGAGTATTGAGTTTAGTGAAGCTATTTGCTCGTTCCAAAGTGTAGATTCCTATGGAAAGGAACGAGCAAGAAATTCTATGGTTACTTTTTATCAATGAGTTGTACAATGCATGTCTTTGTGACATCAGATGTGAGAACAGTATAACACTAATATTTATCCAAAGAATACGGAAAAGAAATTAACCTGATAGGACACCAACTTTGGACAGTCTCAAGTTGTTGTTGTTCTGACTAAAATCCACTCTGTTACTTCTCCTGCTGAGAGCCTCAGCCGCGGTACATTACTGCGCTTCCACCGCTGTTAGGTTACCACTTAAGCTCATTGTAAATTTTTTTACTCGATTGATTTACGCTTAAGGAAAAACCAAACAAGATACAAACACGCATTTCCGTAAAGAAACAGCCATTTGTTGGAGTACTTCTATACAATATGTTTAGACATAACGTTTGTTCACATGAGTAATTACAAAACGCTTGCACCAGAGAAACGGAAAAGTAAAAACTCGATAATTGTGTGAACCAATTCTCTCACCGTATTGTGTCGTAAAATAATAATGTGGAGCATTTTTGTTGGCCGCCAGTGTATGGACGGGGAAACGCCATATGAATGGATTTTAAATAACAAGACTATGTAACAATGGTACAGCATTAGCTTGTAAAAAGTTACAACTACAAAACTGTATAGTTAGTGGTATTAATTGTGTTTTATGATGATATTGCGATCTAGTTGATTACCTATTTATTAAACGCAATAATCTCTCAACTCGGTCCGTTTTCAAGCTTTATGTTGGTTGATTCTTTTAATCCGTTCCACAATAGGACTTTGTTCTATATCTTGGCTGTGGTTTCCTTTACAATTATACAATTTCACATCACATCTGACCTTAGAACTGTGATACTTGGATCCTACAGCAGCTCATTACCCAGCCATCGCGTCAATTTTTCAGTCATATTAAACTAATCATTTGCGAAAGCGGATTTTTCCCGACCCTCCCAACACTGGCGATCAATGAGGCATCCTACAATGTGCTTACAGTAATTTAAACACATTTAAATATATCGTCGTTGTCAATTACTTTAGGCACATATGCACGGGCTCCCCTATTTTTGCGTTGTCATGGAAACATGTTTTCAAACAAATGTCAACTATTAGGGAAAGTTTATTTTCATCGACATACATCGTTATCGAATACAGTGACATTGTCAGATTAACTGGTAAACTAAATGAGCTATAGCGTGCCAACACTAATTATATGTATATGGGCACTTTCTTTTAACTGTGATAGTTCGCAAATGTTAGTTTTAGTAGATACCAACTTACGTGGTGTAAATTTCAAATCATCATTTATTTAGTGTGGGAGAGCCAAGTTTCGGCACGAATGGGTCTGCTCGACCGAACTGATACTACGGCCTCGCGGAATACCGACGTGAAACAACAACAGCGTTGTGTTTCGCCGTGTTAGTGAGGTTACCAGAGGCCCAATCCCTCGTCCTCCCCTATCCCTTCCCGATCCTTATATCTGCAACCCCTATCCCCAAAAGGCCGGCAACGCACTTGTAACTCCTTTGGTGTTGCGGGTGTCCATGGGCGGCGCCGCGCGCCGATTGTTACCATCAGGTCAATCCGTTTGCTCGTTTGCCGACTTATTCCATAAAAAAAATCATAGCTACCTAGTATTATTTCAAATGAAAAGTTGTAAAGAAAATCAAAACTGTATCCTCATATAACATAGCAATAGAAGTTTCAAAAGTTCTTCTATATTATGCATATGCAAATACATGCTATAAGATGAAACCCAACATGGTTCTCTTCTCTTCACTCTGCAATACCTATTATAATATAATACTACAATTCCAGAAATGAAGAGCTTTGAGATATAGCAGGATTCCTACATAGCTCATATACCCACGAGTATTAGAATGGGTAACTTAGCTACCCCATATGCCTATATAGTACGTTCATATTTCCACACACGTATATTAAACAATTCTTTTTCTTAACCTTTTTCTAATTAGTATTGGACCAGCTCTAAGTCTCCACTGGATTTGACTCAATGTGAGTACCTATATTATTTTACGTAGACGTATTGATATTCGTTCTCGATAACCTATTAAGTATAATACGACACACTTAGTTACATCTGTTACCTATTTTTAGAAGACTGTAATGAAATAATCGAAACAATCTGCTTAAGTTGCTTTCCACTCTATTAGATAAAGACAATTCAACAAGTAGTAGCACTTTTTTTGTATGGTATAAGTAGGCAAACGAGCAGATGGATTACCTGATGGCAAGAAATCAGCGCCGCCCATGGACACACCCACGGCAACACCGAAGAAGTTACGAGTGCGTTGCCAGCCTTTTGGGGATAGGAATTGCGGATATAAGGATCGGGAAGAGATAGAGGAAGGGGCGGGATTGGGCCTCAAGTAACCTCACTCACACGGCGAAACACAACGCTGTGGTTGTTTCACGCCGGTATTCTGTGAGGCTGTGGTATCACTCCGGTCGAGCCGACCCATTCGTGCTGAAGTTTAGCTCTCCCACACTTAAGACACATAATTTTCAAATTTAGACTCGAAACAAAAACAATGAACAAACTAAAACCGAATGTTAAGGCATTATAATAGAATTCGATATGAATCTAATTCATTCTGTTGTTCGTGGGATCTATTTGATTATTCTTAACAATATATACATTAGGAGATTTTCACAAACGATAGATTTGCATAAAGATTTGGTCAATGACATGAAACGGATCTCACTACAGAATTACGGTTAGATAACAAATGTTATGATGGTTACGTTATGGCTGAGTGTTTTTGTTTATTGTAACGATTATTAAGATGTCGATGAATAAATTGAAAAATATCGAAGACATAAGAAATGTGATATGCATAGTTGATATTTAAAAAATCTGGATACAATATACGGATAGGTAAATTGTTTAGAAAACAGTCTAGAAATTTGGAGAAAATAGGAATATTACACAAGTCTTAAATCGAATCTTACCTGTGCTAGATTTAACGGCGCCCTGCCAGGTGGGGTACTGACTTGGCTGGATACTAACGACGCAAGTGCTACTCTCTGATTCCCCGACATCGCTCTGATGATGGGCAGGATCTGCGCAAACTTGCCCACATGGTCCTTCCGCTCTAACGCTCTCAACACAGCATCTTTTACCATTCCTTCCTTTGCTCTTATCTTATGAGATGATTTATAGTTCTTGACCAAACTTCTTCGCGGTGTATTATCATACTCTTCCAACATTTCCTGCGACCTATCCTCGAAAGAGTCCAAATTGTACTGGGGTCTATGCGAATTTGTCACTCCAGTAGGCTTCACTATCCTGACAGGAGGCTTTACTACAGTCTGATATTGCCTAGACTCTTGAGCAATCATCACCTCATCTGGATCACTGAATTCAAAGTCTTTTAAGTCATCATCCGCTTTCAGAAGCGCAACTAACGCGGCAAAAAGAAAAACTCTCGTTAAACGCGCCATTTTAATTTAATAAATTGATAACAACAATTTATAACAACGAAATTATTTATTTTACGATACAATTAAGTCATATTAACACTTCGCACGAACACACATACGGATAAAAAATAAAAATAAGAAAACAAGTAAGTCAACGCGCGTTGATGTCTTTTCCGCAGCGATGCGCGCACGCAGCTCTCCGCTCGCGATTGAACGTCAAATGGACGCATGCGCTCCCCCACACACGCACACAAACATACTCTCTCATCTCGTATTTACAAGTGTCGGATAATACCGGAACTGACGACTTTCACCACACACCGAGGTCATCCCTGGTCATCTGATAACTCTCTTATCATTGTACAATAGTGCACTTTATGGCACAAAGGTAATATTGTTGTCAAAATTAACACCTATTCATTGATGACTGGCATGTTATGTAACTGAAAAGAAAAAATGTATGGGCCCAATAATGTAACTGATAGTGGTGAGGCTGCAGTTTTGTTTTACAAGAAGCTTTCACGGTGACGAAGTTCTTCATTGTTGCTAAATGTCGATGTATTGTATAGTAACACATAATATTCCTTTGTTACTGCTTTTACCGATCTACTATGTATACATGTATAATATTTCGAAACGATCAGAATTCGGTTACGCAAGACATGTAAACATGAAATTTTAATTTCAACAAGATACTTTAAAACTATCTTTTTATTTATATGAATTAAATTGAAATAACAATCAGTATTTAATGTATATTTTAATATTACATAACATTTTCACTAATGAACTACAACACTAAATCAAACTCGATACATAGGATTATACTTTATGAAATGTGAAATACTGAATCATATTTTATTAGACCATATGATATACGTAAATATTATTCTCAAAGCCAATAAAATTATTAGCTAATAAAACCAATCAAGTGTTAATTAATTTGCATTTTGCAGTTAATTTTGTATAAATTAAAAGCTGTGCTCATCGTTAGTGTTACCATCTCTTTACCTCTATCTTATCAACGATCAGCACTGCCCATAGACACTTCTTTTTGAAGGGGAAATATCACCACATGGCTTTTGTCGCCCAGGATATGCCGAGAGTGAGCGTCAGACTCTTACAGGCAAAAAGCCCCCGTTTCTTCTCCTGCTCTAGGCCGAGATCGCGGTACCATATTGCGCTTGAAGGGCAACCCCGGCTGCCCATTGACACTTCCAACATCAAAAGAGTGCCGAGTGCAAAGCTCGCCTTTAAAGCTTTTTTCTTGAATCTTTAAGGGTCGGCTCATTATAATTGTTTTAATAGACTCCACGTCACAGAGACCAGGATGTTCATTGATAAACCAAAGCATAGATAGCAGGATAGCAGGAGACTATATTTGCTGCAGTTTCTTAAGTCGCATTAGTCCTACATCATTGGACTGACTGAATTGAAATGGCGACGATATTACATAAATTAAAATCGAAAATATAATCACCAGATTTCCTATACCTACCTATATGACTCCAGAAAAGAAATTATTAATAAAACTGTCGAAAATTCAGTTATACAATTAATAATTCCGATTTTATATTTATTATTAAAAAAGATAATATTTTATGTTTTATAAAAATGTATGGATTGCATAAATTAATAGCTAATTATAAACTTTACAGAAGATATGTTTCAACATATGCTTCGAAGTTATGAGAATTGTTACAGTCTATTTGTTCGAGCATTGACCATAGATAACGTAACTGTTTGTCCGCTAGGATTGCTCTCTGATGCATAACTAGGTATATACATACGTTCAAGATACGTTTCCATTTTTTGTCTCATTCGTTGGGTGTTTGGGAGTGTTATGGTTTGAGAAAATTTCTATGGTACATTCACACGTTTGCCATGGCTTGGCAAAAGTCCACAAGGTCCAATTCTTTACACATCGCCAACGTATAAATTCGTCACAAACGCTTGTTACAAATAATTTCCTTTGATCTGAGTCCAAAAACGGACTGTATCGCCAACAATTTCTTGCAAGCTCATGCAAGCCATGCCAAACACGCTATTCAACCGCTTGGAGCTTGTGTAGGTTTCCCAAGTCTCGGCAAGCGTGTTAACGTACTATTATTAAACGTAGCTAAAAACAAAAAAGCAGGAAAACAAGAGAGCCTAATCCCTGGCTCAGAAAACATCAAAATACCATTCCTTAAGTCTCAGTAAGAAATTACAATAAGGTTGAAATTATAACCAGTATTTACTAAATACTAGGTTTTGCCAGCGATTTTGGCCACGCTACGGGGATTTAAAAGTAGCAAATATTAATATTCCGCACTAAAATCTATCTCTGTGACAATTTTCATCCACAGTAACTAACGTCCATGCACGTGTATATTTTCTTGTCGCTTTTTCAAACTTAGTAGGATATCCTTAATTACATTCATTCATAACTACCAAAAGACTGAGTGGCTACTTGAGCTCCTTGACTATTATTTTATTCATAACAAATCGTAATCTTTGCGTATAAAATTCTGAGTTATACAAAATAATCACGTTAGATATATTTCCCGTGAGTACAATATTGTCTCCGCAAGTATAAACGAAAGAAGGAAACAATTTGATTATTAGAAGCGTGCGGTCTGTAGATACTTGTTACTTTCTTTGTGATTGAAGCTTTGTTGTGCGTAACCCAACAATATCTGGCTACAGGCTGTTTGTAAACTTAAGATAACTACATATGTTTTTGTCTAAGTAAAACTTTTTTTTTTGTTTTTTTCTTCGACTTTTTCAGTTTTCATGTTGACGTTTTCTTGAATGTCAGAGTTAGGGATGAACTAAGTTTTTTATCCTTTAGGAAAAACCTTGCTCTACACTATCTCCTGTATCGTGGGTGCGTTTTCAAACATTCAATTTCACATATACATCGGTACAAAAGTTTGTGGATCACACAAAGAGTTGTTCCGTGCGGGAATCAACCCGCGATACGTTGCGCGGCAGCCAGTTGCCTAGCCAACGCGCCAACCGTGCAGTCCGCTCTACACCTTATATTTCTTATTTTGAGGCAGAGAAAAGCATCATATTATTTTGCCTACCCTGGGTTGGTCGTGCAGTGTAAGATTCTTACTAAACTTTGAGCTGGAATAGCCGTAAAGGAACCGGGGCCACGGTACATCATTTATAGTCCTATGAATATTGTTTTATGATCTCTTAATGGCAAGGGATGTTTTATTTGCAAGCTGAATAGTAGTTTATAAGTCCAAATTAGTGTTGGATTGGAAGACATTTTTACGTGCTGATGATGTAAAGTGATAACAATATTTAGGTAATACAATACAAATTCATATTTTGGGATCGGATTTGTATTCGAATTTAGAACCTGTCGCATTATTTAAGTGTGGGAGAGCCATGCTTCGGTGCAAATGGGTCAGCTCGATCGGAGTGATACCACGACTACACATAAAACCGGCGTGAAACAACCATCCCAAAATCTCCAAATTCCTAATCCCTCCTCCGTTGTAGTAGTCATGGGCGGAGTTGATTGCCTACCATCAGGTAATCCGCTTGATCATTAACCATCACATTACATAAAAAAATATCTTAACATAAGTAGGTAGAGAGATAAGACTCCTTCTCGCCTCATCGACAGCGACAGAATACATATGATTATTTTTTCCCTTAAAATAAATATAAAGAACATGCCGAAGATGCCTTAATAATATAATAACACGCTGTATAACAAAGGACATGAAACAAACGTTAAGCAACGGTGCGCAGGCTGCGGTTGAACGAAAGTACCTCGATTATAGTGGCGAGCACTATCATTACCATAGTATAGACAAACGTTCAGTTATCTGTGCTGCACGATGATGCCACCCAATGTACCTACACTTGCGGTATTTACTGTTGAGTAAGCTGGTTCGGATAAATGCCCTAATGTGTACTTTATACTTTCCCTTTTAAAGTCAATTTAGTACATTGTGATTGGATTTTTAGTCATATTTATTTATTGTATATTGAATCTACACGCTTTTGAGTTTGAAAATCATCAATTGGGGTGTCGCTAGCGGGAGTATTACCCTTACTGAAAAACGATCCTGTTCCATCTCCTGCCCCAGGCAGGAGCCGCTGTAGCTTATGGCGTTTAACTCGCGACTCTGGCTGAACGTCGGCTCTGTTGGGCCCCATTTGTGAAATCAATATCACTAGCTTAACAATTATAAAGTAACATAGAACCAATAAATAACATAGAACATTGAAATGGCTGCTGGAACAGAAAGGTTCTCGAGTGGAGGCCACGTACGCACGCCAAGCAGGCGCAGCGTAGGACGTCCACCCACAAGGTGGTCAGACGACCTGATTAAGGTCGCAGGAAGCCGCTGGATGCAGGTCGCTTCTAACCGGCCTATCTGGAAGTCAATGGGAGAGACCTATGTTCAGCAGTGGACGTGCTGTGCCTGATATGATGATGATGATGATAGAACCAATAACAAATTGACACGAATTATGATTAAATAGGTATATCATCCAAAAAAAGATAACTTAATAAATCAATAGCGAACAAGTAAAATGTAAAGAAAAGAAAGATTATTAACCTTAAATTGCTTATCAAAAAAGTCTTTGTTTAATTAAGTTCGAGCCTTTCTTCCTATTTCTTGAAACACTTCACGTGGATAGACGTGAAATTGTAAGTAACACTGTAAGTATAATTTAAATTAGTTCCTTCGGATATCTCATCTATCTTAATAGTTAATGAGTATAACTAATTATTGTCGTGCAATCGCAAACTAATATTTAATTACATTTTAGTTCCGTAACTTGCTATTGGTTTATTCACGGAATCGAAAATACAGTTTTCAGTTCTGTGGATCGGTATTGATTTGTGGGTTGGTTTATGAATGTCAAGGATTCAAATGAATTGTATTGATATAAGACTCTTTATCGTATATTACAAGATAGTGTGTGATATTATGAACCTAACTATAGGTACCTAACTAACTATCTTTAAAATCGTTTTGAGACTTCAATCCATGGGACAAGAGACCCAGTAAGGAATTTGGCAGTAATGCCAAACAATATACCAAATCAAAACAACGAATAAATTTTCAATACATTTTAATATTTATTTATAATAAAATAATTCTTTTTAAACTTAAAATACAATCAGATCTTACTATAACCAATACTATCATACAATCATACAATTTTTGAGACTAGACAGCGATATCTGGAGTAGAGAAACAGAAGACTGCGAGTAAATAACATAAAAAATAAAATAATCTGAATAAAATAACATCTGATATTTACAATAGGTCCATTATAATGTGTAGCACCATTATGATCCAACTTTATTTAAACATTTGATACTTAAAACATCAAAAATTAAGTATAAAAAATAATGAATACAAAAAAATGTCAAGTAAATAGACATCTTTATTCAATTCATATTTGTAACTACTTACTGATGAAGAGCCAGCTTATTGAGATTCATAAATCTGTATCAGTTGCGAAGTGTACATATTAAATCTAACCACCTGGAGCACGTATACAATAAACAACATACAAAACATTTTTTATTTACACAATATTCATAGAAACCACGGCATACATTAATATAAAAATACTGTTATAAATTAACAAATTATTTACAAATATAAACATAGTTGTCAAGTTATAAAATTTCAGTTTGTATGAAATTCTAACTTGTTATGTCATGATTCCACACTAGTGCAAAATTACAGTGTCTGTCAAATCAGTGCTAGTGTCTGGCGGATTATGCCTAAAAATTATTAACACACAAATTAATTACATTTCAGTCGAGTTCTACTGAATTAGTCGGAATGTGATCGATCAAGATATTGCAGGCATAATTTAGTCTCTCATTATCTTCAAAGAATCATTCCTTAATCAAAACATAAATTCGAGACCTTAAGCAAAACGTAAAGCTATCATCGTATAAAAATTCACCATCCATATACAAATGTACAATATGCAATAATATATCGTACATCATCACAGTAAACAATTTACTACTATCTCCACAAAATCCGTTAATAGCAGAACTAAGTTATGCCCATAACATCTTTATCAAGTAGTGCTAAAATCACAACGACTCTCTTAGTGCTTACGTCCAGCAATCAAGTGCAACCCTGGCGATGCGTTCAAATATCACATTCAAATTCTGGTACCCTCTTATTTCTCCCATCAGGTGCCATTTGGAAGTGACTATCCCTATCCCTAGTACCTACTCTTGGAAAGCCATTAAAGCTGTTCCTACTGACCAAAGGGTTTTCCCTTTCTCGTTCCCTCTCTCTATGAAAACTAGAAGTAGATAGTTTGCCATCCTTACGTTCAGTGAAATTCGTGTCACTGAAATTTTCTTTCGGGAAATTTCGTTCGTTAAACTCGCCGTCGGAGAAATTCCTGTCATTGAAGGGTACGTCTCGGATCCCGAAGCCTCCCATCCGCGGTGTGCCAATACCAAATTTGTTTCGTAGCTCTTCATCGCGGAAGTTGAAGGCTCGATTTTCAAATTTCGCAGGAGCGGTGCTGAGCCTAGAGAATACAAATTATAGTTTTATTATTTTCAGAAGATAAAGTTTAAAAAGGGGTATTATGAATTTCAAAAAAATATTATGCATAATCCATACAAAATCCAAAAAAAAATAATTGGTAAGAGGGTTCCGACAATTCCGACTATTAAAAGGGAACTTTTGTCAACAAATATAGCTGAATGAGTCACACAACCGAAAGTACTCACTCTCTAAAGCACCGCCTCTCCCTATCATACTCTGCCGAAAGACCTTCATCATCATTAATAATGGCCGACGGGTCGCTGTAAACCGAGGACTCTTGGTAAAAGGAGTCCAGGTCTACGTAGTTTCCTTCTGAAGGCTCATTGTCAAGAAGCTCTGCAAGCTGCGACTTCAGGGCTGCGAAGGTGGGTCTTTGGGATGGATCTGCGTGCCAGCACGAGTGCATGGCTCGATACAGCTGCGGCTTGCAATGTGGCGGCCGTTCCAGCCTGTAGCCTTCTGTAACTGCTGCTAAGACTTCTCGACCTGACATCGCAGCATACGGCGTTGAACCTGGAAATACGAGACAAGATGTGAGAAATGCCAACTTTTGTTATTTAATAAGAATCGCCCATCAGCAAAACAATCGCCAAATTTTCATCCCCTTTGACGTTGATTTTCTCCTTTGACGTGATTACTTTTGCAAACATACAATTTTACATCTCACTGAGACCCAAAACAACAGTTTATGGATCACACAAAGTGTTGTTCGAGTTCTAAACATGACACGTTCCACAACAGCAAACCAAGTCTTGTCCAAAATTATCAAATAATATTATATTTGTTCCCTTTCATCTAAGTAACCATTTCAATTATTACAAGTAATGAATAAACTGACCCAGCGTGACGATCTCCCACAGCAAAATACCGAAGGCCCAGACATCAGTCTGGTGACTATGTACGTTGTATAGAAGAGCTTCGGGCGCCATCCAGCGCACGGGCAGCGCGCCGCGAGCTTGCCTCGCACCTGAGCCCGCACACCGCGACATACCGAAGTCTGCGATCTTACACAGCTTATTATGGTCCACCAACACATTACGTGCTGCCAGATCCCGGTGGACAATCTGGAAAGGTAATAACAGCTCTATTATTACCCTTATTTTAATATCACATTAATTTTGAAATTGCCAATCTTTCATTCCATCACTACCACTAATGTTACCGTATTTTTTTTAAAGTACATAATTTTGTAAGTTTGTCCTACAACATGCGTTTCCACAGTTTTAGTTTCGGTATAATGTCGTCCTGACTACGTGTTAATCATGAGGATAGTTACCGATACTTCAAAAACTAATATTAAAATAATAGACAAAAAGATTAAGTAAAGAAATCGATTTTTCTTACCCCTTTAGAAGCGATATAATCCATTCCTCTTGCTACACAATAGGCGAAGACAGTCAGATCTCTGGAGGTGAGCGCTCCACTGCCGCTGAACCGGTCAGGACGAGACCGGCGCTCGCGCAGGTATGTGAGTAGCTTGCCACACATCACATACTCCATTATCAGAAGATAGGGCTCTGGAAATAAAAAAAGACGAAGTTAAATATACAAAGGAGTGAAAATCCACCCTAATACTCAACTTAATTTTTTTCAGTTGTTTTGTGAGTTTAATTATGTAAAGAGTGAACTATGTATTGCTTTACACTGGCTGCAATTTTGAATCCATTACCATTATAGTTTAAAATAAAAAAAACAACCCCGAATCCTCTTTGCTTGGGAGTTTACTTGACCAACGAGCCAGTCTGTGTATTTACATTGTACGTACTCGATATTATATAAATGATGTAAATTATTGTGTTATTTTACATTTACTAAGTACATGTAAATGTGATAATAATAAACTTTAAATTTACCTAGTTCAGTACAACAGGCAAGTAACGTCACAACGTTAGGATGTGTTCCTATCTTCTGCATGATGTATATCTCGTGAAGAAGTTCCTGCTTCTCCTTCTGCGAGGCCGTCTCTTTTATGCTTTTGACTGCTACAAGTCGCGTCAGTCCATCGTGTCCGTTAAGATCATCTGCTTCGGCTTTCCATACCTGTAATGTAAAAGAAGAATATGCAATAAACCTTGTAATTGAATTTTCCATGTGTACTAGGTGCATTTACAAACAAATTATTTCGCATTCAGCTGACACTAATTTGAAGTTCATACAAAGAGTGGTTCCGTGCCGGAGTCGAACCTGCGACACATTGCTGAGAAAATTTGTGTCATGAGTAGTAAAAGTTTACTGCGTATTTTTTTTATTAGGTTGGATGCGTAACTTACCTGACCAAAGTTTCCTTGCCCTAGTAAAGTTTGAAGACGTAACTTGTTTCTTGGGAACTCCCATTTCTGATCGGGCTTCGTTGGTGTTGGCAGTGGAGGCCTAGCCACTGGAGTAATTGGTGACTCTTTCTTTATATCCCCATCTTCAAAGTACCCCTCGTACTCTGTATCAATTTCTTTGGTTTTCTTATTCAGTACACTTCTAAGAACAAAAGCTACTATTGCTGCAACAGGTAAAAATCCTAAACCAGCTAAAACGTATGACGCAGTATACGTTTTCTCAGCCTCTATTACCACCTCTTCATTCTGTGACGCTGGTTCTTCGATTCCTTCACCTGTCGTTTTGTTCACAGCTTTGTCATTTCTTGAAGTACTACTTGGAACTAATACTGTTTTGGAACTCGATTCAGACGATGTGCGAGAAGTTACCACAAATGGTTTAAAAGCTGTTGTAGTTGGAGGCAACGTCGAAGTGAGAAAACTGGCATAGGCTGTTGTTGGAGGGCTGCTAGAAATAGGAGATTCCGCAGCTCTCTCAGATGGTGGTAAAGTTGGCTCTCGAGTCGTGGTCGTAGTAGTTGTAGTAGTAGTCGTCGTAGGTCGCCTTCTCCTGTGCTTGTTAGTCCTAGTCGAATTTGTCGCATTTTCTATATTTCTTTGTCGGAATAAACTTGCCAATCTCTCAGATATTTTTGATTCAGTTTCGTTTTTGATAAGCTGTATATTCCTTGTAGATAATTCGCTGGCTACAGGAGATTCCGTAATAGGACTAGGATTTGGATTTTCAGTTGTTGTGGTTCTAATTCGGATTATATGTTTAGGTCTAAAAGTTGAAGGCATTGTTGTGGTAATTTCGGTTTCGTTTATAGTAATAGCTTTGGGTATAGTGCCATTATTAGCTTCTGAGATATCCGATACCGTAGTATTGTCTTCTTCTTTCATAGCTCCATCTGTTTTATTCTGCCCTTTCATAGAAGAAGTAATTGATACTGATGTAACTACAGCTGTGTAAACGGACGTGGATGCCTTTTCAGTAGTAGTTGCATTGATTACCACTGTACTTAGGACTGGAGTTATTTCAGTGCTAGCTGGAGTTACCCTTAGTGGACGTCGTCTAATATTAGAATAATTTCTGGTAAAGTTTCTCGGTGAAGTAGGAGTCACCACAGTTTTATTGGATGGATTTTCTTTTGTTGTATTAGTAATATTGACTTTTGATGTTGTGTCTTTATTGGTTATAGTACTGTTTGTCTTATTACTGTCTTTGTTTTTATCTATAATACTAGGCGTAAAATGTTGAACTATGGGCTCTGTAACATTAAGCTGAGCAATATTAGGAGATTTTGTAGTTGGTGGAACGGTAGTTGAAAATTTTCTGTAAGCATTAACTAAACCAACGTGACGTGCTGGAGCTGGCCCTTTGACTGTATTTCTTATTTTATTTTTCTCTATAACATTTTTGACAACTGATACATCCATATCTTCATTTATTTCTTCTTCATCTACGCTAGTGTTCTTATATTTTTCTGTAGCTGAATATCTAGAATTGAACTTTCTTTTCTCTATGGGTGCTACAATAAAATTTACTGATTTTGTGGATGCTGACAGTGTTGGCGAATTAGTAAGATTGTCATTTATAGCCGGCCCGCCTAGTTTTTGTCCAAAATATTTGAAAGGGGCCATTTCTTCTACGGGTAACTCTGTTTCAAGTGGTCTAAAATGGTTATAAATTTCGTCGGTCATAAACCGTGTGAGATTTTCTTTTTCATTCTCGACTTTTATTAACTTAGTATTTTTATTATCCGTGCTGTTGGCAATAACGTTAGTTTCTGGTTTTTCTTCAGATACTTTTTCGGTAGGTTTTTCAGATGTCTCATCTTTAGAAGAGTCGCTAGATTGTGTTGTAGTTTCGATCGTAGTACCATTATTTTTAACATCGCTGACGGTTGTATTAACGTTCGTATTTTGTGTTACATTTTCTGTATCTGAATAGTTGAGAAGATACAAGCCATGATTTGACTCATCAACTTGAAATTCTTCTTCGGGATCTAACTCAACATCTTTATCCAGATTTTCATACTTTTCTGGTGGGACATATACTATGCTACTTTCAGTTATTTCGAGACGTTCAGGTATCGTGGCAGACTTGTTAATTCCCTCTCTTCTTCTGTTATTCATAAAACCAGCTCTACTTTTCGAATCCTGGTACACCCTAGGTACGAACAAATGTCTTATTTCGTGCGGTTTTACGTCTTGTCGAATTTCTTTCGAGCCATCGGAGGTTATGAGCCTCAGTGTAGACGGAGGTTCATTACTCGAATTCTCAAACGTTATCCTCTTCACTATAGAGTTATTTGAGTCTCGGACTTCTAACTGGGCGAATGTTGTGTTGGTTCTGAAATGAGAATATACAACACATTAAAATCTATATTTTAAACAAAATATTATTAAGTACTTCGTTGATTTTAGAGAACAAAAATCAAATACCTATGTTATCAAAAATAGAACTTGTATTCACTTCTAAATATTGGATTATATTACATAAGTTACTTTAAACAAACCAAAAGATTGATCTTAGCTTATTTTGTTTAAGAATCGAGTGAGACATTCATCAATCTGTCATTCTGATTCCAGCCTTATATAGCAAAAGTAGCCCACTTCACAGTCCCTTCACTAGAGACAATACATACTTGTTAGCCTTATGTGCTAATGACGCTAGTGCATTGATATGCGTCGCCAGTCTTTCGTTGAGAAGCTGTCGCCTTCGCGCGGCGAGCAGGGAGAGCAGTTGCGAATCCCTCGTTGCATTTGTACTGCTCTGCGTTGTAGTCCGCCTACCACCACCTGTAATGAACACGAAAATTTGCGTCAGAGTTGTTTTAAAATTATGAATTTAGGTTAGAATGTAAGTTGAGTTTTTGATGTAGTAATTGTTTACTTAAGATCAAACTCAGTTTTGAGATTGTACTCGGCGTATCACCGAAACAGGAAAAAAACCATTTCCTTTGTAAAGCAATAACATATGAAAATACCCACGACTATAAATCGGATGTTTCAACATTGAAGTACAAACAATTAAAACCAAATAACCGTCCAGCGACTGTCACATTGTCGACAACAATATCCTAAAACCTTCAAAGATGTATGATTACAAAAAGTCATCAGACGAGACATCCGACCACAATTACTGGTGACCATAAACGACAGATCGCATGATGACCACAATAGAAATAATTGTATGCAATCAAGTAGCTTCACTACAAGAAACCTTCACCCACTAAGTGCCGTGACGTGCAATGTAGGGGAAGATGATGATTTTGTTCAAAATATCCATGTTACCTACGAAAAGTGGCGTTTTTAAAAAACGAATTGATTTTTTTGTCTTTTCGGAGAATTAACTAAATACGCGGGTTACTCACGTGTAAATATTGAGAAAAAACTTTTCTCAATATTTACACGTGAGTAATCCGCGATTTTTTAGTTAATTTTCGGAGAATGATACCGATATAAATGGCGTATTATTATTTACATCGAGTGTGTAAAGTTTACTGATGGTGGTATTATATATGTCGAAATGTAATGTCGTATGTCGAAATGAAATGTAGAAACATAAGTCTATATCGGATGGTCAAGGGACTCAAGCTTACCATCTTAAGTGGTAGATGAATATTTTAATAAACCTAGATATTAAATATACTAAATTATTCAATTAGATTATGTTGTATTATTACTAGCACATTGATATTTAGTCAATTTTACCAACACTGCATATTTCGAAACCAACCAAATTGCCTATTTCAAGTGTCTGTTTGAAATAATTGCGATTTTCTCTTTAAGCACAATTTTCCTTTTGTTCGAGCTGAGTAACGAGCAATGCTTTGTATTAACAAATGAGCGTTCCCTTACATTTACAAAGGCGATAAGTAGGTTCGAGGTGTTTCAAAAAGCCTGCCATTGTAACATTGGTTAAGTACACATACGCTTCAATGTCATCACTGGCATTAAAGCCTACTCTCACGGCTCAGCGATTAAAACAATAAGTGTAACTGAATACATTAGACCTTGACGCAACAACGTAGAGAAAGTACCGTGTGTAATCCGCTTTACAATGATTCGTTTGTTTACTTACAGCCATTTTAGTTTTGCAAAAATAACAGCTTATTACTAAAATGTTTGTTTTAATGTCCGTTTAAAAACATTAACATACACGTTGATTCTATTAAATTTGTTTGATTTTGAATCTTGTTCGAGTGTCAAGTGAGCGTTGTAGTGACGAGGAAATTAAATTATAGGATGCGACTTTTAACGACATCTCATACTTTACCAGCCGGGGTTGCAGGGTAAGCGCAATGAGGCACCGCGACCTCTGCTCAGAGCAGGAGAAGGAACGGTTTTAGTCAGTAAGAGCCTACTTTAATATACTTTTCAGTTAATTTTGCTTCATAAGTAAGATTCAAGTTTTTACCAATAATTCATTACTATCAATAATACTAAATAGCACGTGTCTAACTCTAATTTCGACACCAAAGTCGCTCAAATCACATATAAAATTACAAATTATACATAAAACATTAGTTAAACATAAGTGCGGTCATCTTTCCTGACTTTTTCATCGAATATGAATTTCTAATCTCGTTTTTATTGATGTAAGCTGCGCATGAGTGGCGGCCGGGTTTCACCGACCACACGCTAGAGAAATTCAATGTTGAACGAGCAATTACGTGGCAGTCGATAGTGATGATAGTCGTATAATTTTTTTATGTGAAATAAGTATTATTTTTAAAAAAGTGAATTTTGTATTCTGGAAATGTTGCACGGTTGGCGCAGTAGCTAGAAAACGTGTCGCGGGTTCGATTCCTAAACGGAACAACTTTTTGTGTAATTCGTATATTGTTGTTTCTTGGCTTATCTAAGTGAATATTTTGTATGTTGGTTCGACATACGAACATACTAGTAACGTTTTTAATACTAAAAATAACAAATAAAAATAAACATTTCTATTAGTGATGTTTCTGTCTAAAACCTTTAATATTTTAATCTCCACGGTCTTATTTTTCATTAAAGACCTATAAGTAGATTATCCATAAGGTACAAAATATGCATATAGTCTTTCAAATAAATAACAATAACATCGCAAATATGATAGGATGTTGTTCGAAATTCAATTAGTTTAAGAATTCGGTTCCTCACTAATCTTATGCTAATAGTTTAGCCCACGCACATAGTTACATGACACCAATGCAGTGGGTGTTGAACCTTTGTATACTTTGAACAAAGAAGTTCTTATTATATTCTTCTACCTAGTCCTATAGAAACAAAGGCTTTATTACGACTAGTTATGTCATTTATTGAAGTAGCAAAGTAACTATCTTTTTCCTCTTTTTTAGATGTTACTACCTTTTGCCTGCGACTTTGTTCGCCTGGAAAAGAGACTTCCTGCAGATTTACGTTCGCATTTATAATATTAGTTTGGATATAATAAGGACAAAACTAAGTGTGTTTGCCGACCAATTACATAAAAAAGACCCCTTGACATCTTCTAGGCAGAGACACGGTAGTACGAAAGGTGATAAAGACACAGTAGTACGAAAGGTGATAAAACAAAAAAAAAAGTCACTTAGCATTTCTCGCCTTAAGCGAAAATTAATAGCATAAAATGTTTAAACTATAGTAACTAGATTTTTTCCAAATCTAGTTACTATCAATGTCACTTTTTTTGAGTTGAATATACTTTCAAATATTATTTAGGCACCACTGCCATAAGGTGAAGAAAAACATGCAGCAGTGGGCACATTATAGACTGATAATGATGATGACGATGATAGCCAAATGCGAGAGTCCAAGCCCTCAGCTCTCGACATAAGCGGTAGTGATGTTTTATTACGTATACAAAAATGTTATATACTCTCAACAATAAAACCAACATTTCGCACTCCATAAAACAAAGAGACCGTAAAATAAATAAAGATTTTATTAAACAATTTAGTTTATTTCTCAATGTAGTACGGTACAGTTTATTTACATGTTGTTACATAATGTTATGTAAACAACACTCGTGCGAAATACTCGGTTTGTTCGTAATCTCACGGTTTTTCAGGCACACGCCTCTTAACTAGCTTGTGTCACGACTGTGTGGTGCAAGTTATAGAATATTGCGTTTGTAAGTTCTGCCGAAGATTTGATGTTTTTTTATTGTCATCTTGGATCTTATCTACTTGTTATTGACTTGATTAGTTTAAAATGTTTTCCTTTTACATTTGAATTCATTTAATTTCATTGGTAGCTATTGTCTTTTATTTTTATTATAACTTTCGTAAGACATTCTCAATTATTTATTATGTTTTCGGCTTACTCACGTAATAATTAGACGAGATTCTCGACTAGTTTCAAGCCATGCTAGAGGCCCATATTCATGAGCAGCATTCCGCGACACGCGACTCGGCGACTGCCGAGTAGCAGCGCGACAGTCGCCGAGTAAGCCGAAAATAATGTAGCTATTGTCATCGTAAATAACCTGATACATAAGTAATTTTTCACCATTTTAAAACCGATTTAGTAAAAAGTTTTGACCAGTTAGGTAGATATAATAATTACTATATTACACTTACATGTATCAAAGCAAAAAACATTACAAAACTTTTCTAAATGTTAAAAATAATATTTTTAATAATGGTAGCTATTTTATATTTGTTTATCTCTCTCCTCTCTCTTCTTACACCAACGATCATAGGATAACGGTGCGGGTTCGATCCGCTGCCCAGACCGGTTCCCTGCGGTCACAACTGTTCGACTATTGGTTACGCAATAGTTGCACAATCACTGAGGATGAACCGCAATGAAAATGCCAAAAGCATGCCAATTTTCCACTTACATATATTGAAACACAGTTTGAATTCGCTAGAAGGCACTATGTGGAATCCACGATGGTGAAAGCACAATAATAAGCAAAAGAAGGACCAGAATGGTTTTAAGTCAGAAAAAGTCTGACATACCTACCCTGTCATCCCATCAAGTATTGTTAAGTTTCAAATATAAATTTTTTAATACTCATATATTTACTACCTGAACCAAAAACGAGGGAGCGAATCTTGTACTTATATTTATATGATAGCACTCTGTAGGGCTGTGCTAGAGAATACAAATTACTAATATGTTATTCAATTGTAACAAAATTGTACCCTTAAACCAAGTTAATTAAAGTAGTATTTTTAAATGGATATTCGATACCTTAATTGTTAACAATCCACAGATACTGTGATTCCGTTCCATTAACGATCTTCTACATACATAAACGTGTATATGAAACAAAATGCTATAAGAGCAATTATAACAATTACCAAGTATTGGTGAAATCCCATTCCAAGAGCTAACAGTTTCACAACAAGAGTTCACAGAAGTGTACCTGTACCTTCTAGTACGTACTTGTAGGGTCTGAAGGCTGGGAAAATGCATCTTTCGTAATATTTTACTAAAATGCTGCTTATAAGTTCGTGATGTGCTGAAAGGGAGCAAGAATGATGGCAAAATCATTTTGTTTAAAATCTTAAAATTATACATATATTTAGCAGCGCTTAGCTAAGAAATATTTATGCAATTTATCTACATATAAACAATACATGTATATAAAGAGAAAAAAAAACATCGAAATTGTTTGTTGCCAGTTTATTTTTTTTATGTTCTTCGACAAAAATCAAATGCACTCATCAAATCAAATAAGTAGTGAAGATTTCACATCGGATTTAAATTTAATAGCTTTATTTCAACTTCCAAAACACCGCACTAAAATTAGCGGAGCAACATTTTAGCGCACCAATTTAGTTGGTCACTCGGTTCGTTAATGTAGAATCCAAGCAATGTACCTTTCGCTAGGCTCTAGACCGCTCTAGTTTACCTGTTCTAAATACCTTAATAACCTTCAGTGACCTAAAGAGGTAGCCAACTATATTTTGATCTAGATTTTGTACTAAAAATATATACTTATATTTTATGCTTCGTTTGAAAGGGCGTTGTAGTACCGCTTACTTGAGATAATTGTAAATTTTTGCTTAATATTATAGCCATATACATTTCTATTACGACGCAGAAAAATCTATATTGGTATAAGGAAATATAATTCTAAATAAAAATGTATTAAGTACCTATTTACGTTAGCTAAAAATAACGATAATTATATTTTTTATTAAATTAACACTTCCTTCGATTTCTCTAAACTACAACGTGAACACACGTGACACATCTTTTATTTTAAAATTTTGTTTTTTGTTATATAGTAAGTAGCAGGAATTTAAGTATTGTATCTCTACCTTCATAATAACTATTCGATAAACTTGCTTAGCACATAATTAATTCATACAAATTACGTTGCATATTCTAATATCTCTGATACAATTATTAGACTAATGAAACATTATTGAAGATATCTTTAAGACAATAACTTAAGTAAAACAAACTTAAGAATCATAAAAAATAATCAAATCAAACACGCAATATTGGTCCAATAGTTGGCTCCAACGTTGCACCTGACAGCTGACATATTCCCAGCATAATTGTTTGCCAGTTCTCACAGATACATGTATTCGTCGTAACACAGAACACTAGATTGCATTCCTTTTTCCGCAATTTGGCAAAAACATCGCAATATATATACCATTGCACAGCATACGCATTGTTAGTACAACGAAACGTATTACAATTAGTTTGGTAATGTCAGGAATGCCTTAATTGTTATCATTGTGATTGTATTAATTAATTACCTATTTATTTTTGTTGAGAATTTGAAATCTGTTCGGAGAAATTGTCGGAACGTGAGAAAAACTCACGCATGTCACGATGAAAAGTGTCACTTTTAAATAAATGTGTAAAATGCTTGGTTAATTAACTGCGCGCCTCATGTATCATGTTAGGAAAGCTCGATTGTATGAATAACTTTTCTTTTCGTTGCATTTTTCATTGTACACGATGATATAGCAGGGAAATAATGAATTATTATTTTGTCGTATTAACTATAAGAGATTTTGAATAATTATATGAAGCGTTGTTTTTGTTATAAGTATTAAGAACAGAACAATTGTCGAACCCTATTTGATTTATTGTTGAGCGAACTTGATAATTTGTATGTTTCTATCGTCCAATGTAAAGATTCCACCAAAAAATTAAAGAAAATATAAATAGTAAATAAACATTTAACTCGAAGTCTATAGTACGTCTGCGCTTGCGCCGGTGAATAGAGTACCACCTTTATAATAGAGAGGTACTACACGCCCAATTGCACGGTAGTAGGTGCCCTGTTCACACCATTACAGTAGGGATGGGGAAGTAGTGATAAAATCCTAAACGATGACAGAAAGTCACCATTTTTGAGTAATGATGGAAATTATATTTTTGCGTGATGATGGAAAGATAACCTAAAGTGGTTTAAGTTTTCAATATTTTATGTAATAGCTAGCTTTTGCCCACGACTTTGTTCGCGTGGAATAATAGTCACTAATCTGTTCTACTATTCTGCAGATTTTTGGTTTAAAAACTATCCTATGTCCTTTCTCGAGTTACAAACTACATATGTCTGTACCAAATTTCACACAAATAGGTTCAGTAGTTTAGGCAAGAAGAAAAGACAGACAGACAGAGTTACTTTTACATTTATAATATTAGTTTAGGAGTTTTTATAACATCACAACTTATTTTGCGAAAACATGGTCAATTATTACGTCATAAATTTGTTATATTTTTTAAAGTTAATTGTTACTTTAATTGTTGCACTTGCTCTTTTAATGAAACAATGATAGATATTCTCACAAATATAGAAGGTATAAAAGTTAATCGTTCAGTTTTCAACTAACCAAAAAATATCGATTTCTAAATAACTATCGATCCACAAATACCCCGTCACTAGCAGCACCTGTATCTACCGCCTGCGTGCAGTGACCGGCAATGGGGTCGCCTATGCACCGCGTCGCCTGCGCGTACGCATATGTGCAAACATTACTGTCACTAATAGCTCGCTGTTAGATTTGTTTCGCAGCACAATATTTATTGTTTCTTTGTCTGTATTAAGGTTTATAGCTTTTTCTTTAACTTACAGTTATGCCATATACCTAAGAAGCATTTTATGTAACAAAAATTGCCTTTGTTTAATAATAAATAAGATTTACAAATAGGTTGAGATCGTGTTTTATAATAATCAACCATTAACTTGTATTTTGTGAATTATAGATATAATTCACAAAAATCTTTTCTTCTTGCTAGTGTTCACTCACAAAATTAAGTTACCTATCGTATCAAAATCAGCTAAGACATATACCTAACAAGATATTTGTAAATGTATTCATAACCTCATTTCAAGCAATTTGAGATACATAAAGCGATTCCGGCAACTTTATAACTTAAACCTACTAAACTACATTAAATAGAATTATCACTTAATTGTATCACATTGCCAAAATGTCATTCAAACCTGTATCATAACATGAATCCGGAGACAGGACGCCATTATTCATTGCGTCACTATATCTAAGCCAAGCCACGCAGCATGAAATTAAAAACTAAAGGCCTCTGAGGCTGGCCTGGATTGTCAGGTGGAAATACAGTCATATTGCCAAGCCTAATTGTTGATGGTATTGCGAGAGCTATGTGACTCGTTACTATTAAAGTATATTTCATTATTCTATGAAATATACTTTAATAGTAACGAGGTAAGTAAATATTTGTAATAAATAAATAATTTGCATAGTTTCCAGAAAATTTAATATTGTATTTCTACCTTCTTCGCCATGATTATTGGTGATTAATTATAATCATTATAATTTAATGTTCAGTTTATAATACGTATTTTAGTGTACCTTTTAGTTCGCAGGAAAAAGAAAAATAATATTTTTAATCAGTAACCTGTATTTCTGAATATTTTCAAGAATTATGACTAGTTAATTATTACAATATTTATGACTAAATATCATGTTATCAGAAAATAAATTACAAAAATGAGGTAAACATTGATATGAAAATATGCTTCTTTGGTTCTTCAACAATAATGGTATTTACCATTATTGTTGAAGAACCATAAAATTAACTTTTTGTCCATTGATCGATAAATATTATTTTCAATTCGTATTTAGGTAATAATCTATTAACCTGATTTTGAAAGAGTTCATTGTACAGGGTGATTGAATTCTTCAGTTCATTCAGGTTATGTAGTTCCGCTACCTTAATGGCCATTATGCGAGCCGTATGCCCATTATACACAGCCTTTGTGCAGTCCACAAAGGTTTTGTAATTAGACTTACGCAATAGAAAGTCTAGCCTAGTTTCTTTTTGAGGAAATTGTAGGTCTATTTTAAGTATTCTGGCACTTTATTGCAAAATTTGTGTAAAATGAAAGATTTTACTTTTTGCAGCAATACACATAGTGTAATATATAATTATTGTATGTGTTTTATGTAACGCTATGAAATTGTAATGACAACATATTATAAAAGAAAGTCGCCTTCTCTGTCTCTATATCCCTAACATGTTTAAATCTTAAACACTACGCAACGGATTTTGATGCGTTAACCATATATGGATAAACCTCCTATATTAACATCCATTTTTAATGAAATGCATTCAAATTTAAACTTGACCCATATAAGATAAACACAATGCAATAACTATTCAGACCTCAACCACAAACCATTGCATTATAAGTCATTAAGTGGCGAAATTCTGGACCTTCTTTGTACCCAAGGTTGCTGATTACTCCTATGAAATATATATATGTTTAGATACATATACATAAATATATATGTGGGATTCGCTCACAGGTGTTGCAAGTGAACACACTTATCTTTTGTTAATTTAATTTTTGCTTATATATTTTAGATTTTATATATTTTTAAATAGTAAATAAAATATAAAGTACTTACCTTAATCCGGAGTAGCTACAGTGCAGTAAGCTGCTTAAATAAAACAAATTTGGCACACCACCTGCCAGCACATCAATAGAAGTTTTATTAAAGTGAACATAAATTTTGAATCACTACACACACAATGGCCGAACAGTACTCAATCCTGTCAGTGCTGAATTCCTGGGAGGAGCGCGTAGACAAGAAGATGAAAGCAGTTGAGGTTCAAATTCAGGCAGCAGGCCCAACAAAGGACACAATTGCGAGGGTGGCTGATGAATTTCGCACTTTTCGTGAACTGGTCTTCGACATGCTGAAACTGCTGCGTCTCCAAATCGGTGAGCATTCCCAGCGGCTTGATGATGTTGAGGCAAGGAGTCGACGCAAAGCCCTAATCATTCAAGGCATTGCTGAGGTGGCGAGCGAGGACTGTACCGATGTCACCCTTGGCATATGTAATGCAAAATTGGGCCTCAATCTCACTGGAGCTTCTATTAAGGTATGTCACAGGCTGGGGCAGCAGACCAGCACTGACCATCATAGACCTATTTTGGTCAGGTTTGCCTCCATAGCTGACAAAATGAAGGTCTGGAGAGCAAAGACTGGTTTGAGGGGCTCCAAGATTGCCGTGAAGGAATTCCTTACAAAGTCCAGGCAGAGTGTATTTGTGAAGGCGCGTCAACACTTTGGCATGCGGGCTTGTTGGACTCATGATGGTGTCATCCACATCAAGGATCCTGAGGGAGGTCGACATAAAATGACAACCTTGGACGAGCTAAATCCACTGATGACCAGGTACCCGAAGACGCAAGGCACGTCTCCTGCGATTGTGAAGCGGCCTGCGGCGCCTTTGGCGGTTGAAAGCCTGAAAGGTACAAAGAAATGATTTTTATTTAAGTTCTTTACTTATAATTGGACACTCAATATTTATAATTATTTTTCTAAATTTATTAACGAGTTTACTCACTTATTGCTTGCGTGTTTTTGTACTTAGTTCTTCGATTTATATACCCCATATAATTTATAACTATCATAGAATCGATTTCATTGTTTCACATTATTTTATATAATTACCGTCTTGTTAGTTGCTCAATTTTATAACACATTTAAGTCGGTGGTCGCATCCTATCAAATAACTTTTTACCATGTTACCTCCTACTATAATGAATCTCAATTTTTAACGTTCATTACACGACTATTTAATTTTTAACTACTGTTTACTTGTTGTCATCTGTCATTTTCTAAACATATAAATATTGCGAGAGAGACGTCATTGTTAGTATGAATGTCAAGTTGACGTGGACTGTCATTTCTTTGTATGTAACGTTTGGATACGTTCAGGGGTCATTTAATTTAACTTAATTTTAAATAATATGTCTTTTAATCATTTGAGTTGTTTCCGATTTTTGTTTTTCATTCTGTTCATGTTTCGATTTCATATTAATGTTTTTTTTTTTTGTCTCGCTATTTCTTTTTTCTTTTTTTTGTAAGCTGGCGGGTGGTGCAGAGTTTTAACCAATAATTTTGTTGTTTAGCAAACGCATTATACGTATTATATATCAACGAATATTCTAACATTATATTGTGATATATATATATATATTTAAATTTATTTTATTTTATTTATATTGATAGTAGTTTTATATTTTTATAATTCGTTTTATCTAGGATGTCTGATGATGATTCTTTTAAATCAGCGAATGAATTCTCTGATAATGGTAGCTTCTGCTCTTTTGGCGACACTCTTAGTGATTTTATCAGTAACCAATTTCAAAATAACCGCAATCGGTTATTGAATGTGTGCCATCTGAACGCGCAAAGCATTCCCAGCCATCACAATGAACTTTTCGATGTGTTTGGCAAAAGCGACGTGCATGCCATCCTGATATCGGAAACTTGGCTCAAACCACAATTACCCTCTACTAACTACCCCCTTCCTGGTTATGTTCTTATACGGAACGATCGAGCTGACAGGAGAGGAGGTGGTGTTGCTATATACCTCCGTAGCGAATACTCTTATAAGGTGCTCTTCACTTCTCCTCTGAACTGTCCTGCGGAGTACCTCTTCCTCGAAGTTTGTAGCCGGGGGGGGAAAACTGTATTGGGTGTTGTTTACTGTCCCCCTACTGTTGATTATTTCACTGAATTCGAATCAGTTTTAGAATCCTTGGGGTCTGAATATATGCATCACGTAATCATGGGTGATTTTAACACCAATCTCCTTTCCCATGAGTCCCCCCGTTCCCGTAAACTCCTAAACATAATTGAGTCGACAAATTTACATGTATTACCTCTTGATCCCACTCATCATAACACTGTCGGTGATGACTCCTGGCTTGACCTTATCCTCACCTCCAATCCCGCCCTCGTGTCCTGCCATGGTCAACATGACGCTCCGGGCTTCTCTCACCATGACCTGATCTTCCTATCTTATATCCTTAAACCACCCAAGGTGGGGTCCAGGGTCCTGTATAGGCGTTGTTTTGCGCGGATGGACGGAGCAAAATTGCAGGAGGACGCATCGATGATCAACTGGGGACCTCTGATGGAAGCCACTTCTGTTGATGAAAAGGTTGAGGTTTTCAACATGAATGTGGTCAGCCTTTATGACCGTCACGCCCCTGTTAGAAAACTAAGGGTGAAACGGCCACCGGCGCCATGGATGACTCCTGGGATAAGGATGGCTATGCGCCGCAGGGACCGGGCGTTCCGCAAACACAGGAGGGATCGCACTGACGAAAACTGGGCGGCCTTCAAACTTGCGAGAAATAGGTGTAACCAGATGGTGCGTAATGCTAAACGCCGCCACGTTCTCGAAAGCATTTCTTCCTGTTCTTCAGCCGATATCTGGAAGTTCCTTAGAACTCTAGGCATCGGCAAAACGCAATATTCAGATCTTCCCAGTACAATGTGTCTAGACGATCTCAACAAGCATTTCGCTACAGTACCAATCATGGACCGTCTAGTGAAACAGAACACGCTAAGATTCATCTCTGATCTGACGCGCCCCGATATTGCTAATCCTTTCCACTTAGCTCCGGTTGATTCGGCAGAGGTTGGTAAGATTATCCTTTCCATCAAATCCAAAGCGGTAGGTTGTGACAACATTTCTCGAAACATGATTGTGACTATTCTTGATCACCTCCTACCAGCTATAACCCACATCATTAATTTTTCCCTTTTTTCCGGCTCCTTCCCCTCCCTTTGGCGAAGAGCTTTTGTTCGCCCTCTCCCAAAGGTCTCCAGTCCTACTCTTCCGTCTCAATTCCGTCCAATATCCATACTTCCTTTCCTATCCAAAGTTCTTGAAGCCTGTGTCCATAAACAACTTTCCGATTTCATATACCGGAACTCGCTTATCAGCCCTCTTCAATCTGGTTTCAGACCAGGCCACAGTACTACTTCCGCCCTACTTAAAGTGACTGGCGATATTAGAGCTGGCCTCGAGGGTACTAGTGCCACAGTTCTGGTGCTAGTTGATTTCTCGAATGCGTTCAATATGGTCAGTCACGACATCCTTTTGGCCATCCTATCCCATCTTGCAGTCTCTGGCGAGTCTCTGGAATGGTTCTCCTCTTATCTTCAGGAGCGTCAGCAGATGGTCAAGCATGGTGACACCACATCAAATTGGCGACAACTAAAAGCTGGCGTTCCTCAAGGCGGTATACTATCACCTCTTTTATTTTCTATCTTTATAAATTCTATTACTTCTAATCTTCAGTGTGCGCATCATCTGTACGCCGACGACTTGCAGCTATACTGTCAGGCTAACTACGATAATATCCCCGTTGCCATCTCAAAAATCAATAACGACTTAGCAGCAATTAATAACTGGTCGGCAAGATTTGGCATTGTGGTTAACCCCAATAAGTGTCAGGCGATTGTCATTGGGAGCTCTCGTTCTCTGAGTAGAGTGGACGTTGCATCTTTACCGGCTGTCCTTTTCGACGGTGCGATCATTCCATATAGTAGTGACGTCAAAGATCTCGGCTTACTTATTGATAGTAACTTAAACTGGCATGCACATGTCACCAGTGTGTGCAATAAGGTGACCGGTTCGTTGCGGGCACTTTATCGCGCCAAAAACCTGCTCCCGTCCATCACCAAGTCAATGCTGGTGCAGGCCTTGTTGTTTCCCATAATTGATTACGCTGATGTGTGTTATTATGACCTGAATGCAGATCTCCTCAATAAACTTGACCGACTTCTGAATAACTGCATTCGTTTCGTCTTCAACCTGCGTAAATATGATCATGTTTCTGCACATCGGCTGCAATTAAAGTGGTTGCCCATACGCCAGCGCAGGGAGCAAAGGGCGCTAACCACTCTGTTCTC